TGCACCATAGACTTGGTATTTGCTCCAAGCACATTTTTTTATTGACTTATTTCCCTTCTGCACTTTGATTTTTCCTGGGTAAAGGAATCTTAGTAGCCTTCTCAGTATATTCTGTAATAATGAATTCTCAGTGGCTGCTCCCTGTGTGCAATTTACTGCATTTTTCTTGTGTACATAAGACAGAGTTCTTTGAACTAAACTATAATTACCTGTTTCACAGCTGACATACCTGAGCATACAGAGGTTAAGCACTTGCCCAAGAGCTAGCAGCTTGCAGAGTTGGGAATTGGACACAGATGTGTCTGACTCTTAAGTTGGACACTTCCAACCATTCTAACAATTATGTCATCTCAGCTTGTAGTCATTGGGTTCCCCACCCACCCAGCCCTCCTGTATGACATAGACCTTTCACTGAGTACCTGAACATATAGGAGGAAAAGATGGAGGAAGGAAAGGCCCCAAGCAAGTAAGACACAGTAACGGGAATATAACTAGCTTCACAAACCAAGCCTGATAGTCGTTGGCATAGCTTCTTTTAGCTGGTCTTACTGAAATGACCAGATACACAGAGGTACCACTCTTCTTGGTACTTTACTTCTTCTCTGTCTTTTGCACCCACACCCACTCTTCAGCATCTTCCAAGTCAGGGTCTGATGAGGACAACTAGCAGGGATGAGGACAGTCACATCCTTCAGTTCCCTTGGCTCCAAGGTGACTGACCTTCTCCCTCCCTTTCCAGAGTCCACGTTCTGCATCTCGCCACAGAAGCCATGTCTTTTCTCTAGTTACAATGGTGTGGACAACTATTCTCCCTGCATAATATGGATGAGTTTCACTTTAGACCTTTGTGTTTAGGTAATCTCCTGTAACTCCTTTTGTAGCCCAACCTAAATGGAAGAAGAAACAGGATTGGAATCCGAGTCAGAATTAGAAGGAGGGTGGGGCTGACAGATTAGGAGAGAGGGCCAGCATTGCTTTCCTGTCATGATTTCACACAACTCAAATAATGGCAGACTGTATCTAGTTGTCCAGAGGAGATAAATGCATACCTTTCCAGGGTTGAAGGGCATGGGGAGGATGTGTGGCTTTTATGACCTAAAGTAGAGCAGAGAGTGAAGAAAAGTGGAAAATCCTTGCTGGAAGCCTCTAGCAGCCACAGCTATAGGAGAAATTTCCAGCATGCCATCATTGTTAGAGTGACCAAGAACACCCGCTAACCTAGCTGGGGTCCTGCCATATTATCAATAAGAGGCTCTGTTTCCTACTGCTTCTAACTCTGCCTTGCCTGGGGACTAGTCTCAAGGCCCCTACACTTTTCACCTTGCTGAAGACTCTGCTGCTAACCCCATAAACCACTGTGGACCAGAGGAGAGAGCACTATGGTGATGGGGCTATCCTGGGACAGTTATTCCATCACCGTCGTACTGGAGCTAGAACATTTACGCCAGCAGGAATTAGCTGTGACCATTGAATTCCATAGTACTGTACAGTAACTCCAAGTGCATTTTAGACAAAATGCTAGGCTGAGAGGCTTGTCATCTCTGAAAATGTTCACAAAATTAATTTATAACCCTTGGTAGGTTTCTAAGAGTCGAAACCTAGTTCAGTAAACAACTCTTGGTTTTGTAATGTACTTCATAGTTACAGTGAATGTCTCACACATGTTTTTATCAAAAATTTCAGTGCCCTTGGGTAGAAAATTGCTCCCAAGATTGTTCAAATAGAACCGGGCTTCTGGAACAACCATTTGATGGTAAATAAGCTCTACAGAGGATTCGTAAAGTGACAGCACATAGGGTGGATTGTGGAAGACCAGAGAGTACGGAGCGCCAGCTGTGTGGGCTCAGCTTCACTCTCCTCAAAGTAAAACCAATGCATTAGTCCCTGTTTTGTAAGGTTTTTATATAGGTGAAGCCACACACACATATGTATATGCACACACCCATCCCCCTACCCCCACACACGCACATGCACGTGTGTTATGTGCTCCGGCTTCCATGACTGCATCATGATGGGTGTCTGTGAGTAAGGGACCGCTCTGGTAGAATGTGGAGTGTTCATGTTCTGAGGACTATGTTATTACTCATCAGCTGATGAAGTGAGTGGAACTGCACAACTCGGCTTATGAAGGAACACGGAGGAAAGGCGTGCAGACTCCAGAAGTCAGAGCCTGTGGATGGAGACAAACTGTGCTGATTGATTCTTATTGCTGATGTCATTTGAATACGAGTATGGCAGACCTTGAAAGAGGAATGATCAGACTTTGACAAGTGGCTCGAGCGAAGATTATTTCTACCTCATGTTGTTGGCTGTCATTTTAATACTCCAGAGCTGAGTCAAATCTTACAGCTGAGGAAGATTGGCATCCCATGGGCATCCATCGGCCACACAGTCCTGATAGCTACCGTGTTATGTTGACAACAGGGATTTTCTTGAGAAAATGGTGATGTTTCAAAGAAATTCTACAAGTGGTATAGTGGAAGTCATTATGACAGAAGAAGGAAACCTCGTAATGAAGAATATATGGAGGGCATGACCTAACATCCAATGCAGTAAGTCATGGCTTCTGCAGGACTGGAAGTTTATTTTGTTTTTAATCTTTTACTTCTTATAGGCAACCTCTGTAAAGAGAAGTCTTGCTGGATTTGTTCTGTCGGCTCAGCTGAGTCACTGAAGCTTACAGTTTTTAGTGAGGTGTGAGCAATATCTTACATTTTCTGTTTTTCATGTTCTAATTAAATGCACTGCTGACATTAGAATGAAAATATTATTAGAGTTAGGATTATGGAAACACACACACATATGTCCTTAGCATGTGAGGATTGGTCAAGTATGAAAAACGATATATTCTATGAAGATGAGTTTGGGGTGTGGGGACAAGCATAGAAGCAAAACAAGTGAAAAGAAAGAGCAGCTTTTGGGGGTGGTACTTAGATCTTTCTGGATAGAAGGCCACAGGATGGAAAGCCGAAGCAGACTTCCTAACTTTAAAATGTTTCAGCTGCAACACCATGAATGCCCTCAATATAAACTGAAACCATAAACCATGGAAACTTATAACAATGCTAATACCTGTACATACTTTCAAAATCTTTAGAAAGTTAGTAAGAATAATAAGTCAATTTATCTCCCCCCAAACCATATGCAGGCAAGAAATCACAAAAACAAGTAAGTAGGACTATGATTTTCAATAAACACATAGATTAGCCACCTTATACATAGGAGAAATAGGAATTTTATAGCATGAGGTTTTAGTTTTATATAACAAAGATATTAAAGGTGATATTCATTTCCAGGAATGGACACTGCCAAGGCCATGGAGGGTGTAACTGGCATACCCTCGGTGAGATATCTGACAGTATCATAAGTCTTACATATGCATAACCTTGTCCTTTAATCAGAAAATAATCAGAGAAGAATGCAGAGAATTTATACTGTATGGATATAATACTATTTAAAGCAGTTCTATGAGATTAATAGCTTAAAATTATGAGTTTTTCCCTGGACACTATAAAAAGTAAAGTCCAGTGTTTGGTTCTGGAGTTACTCGTAGGATCATGAGCTCCTATGCTATGATTAGAAAGCATGGGTTTTGAAGAGACTGCCAATATGGGAAAATTAAAGACTCTTGGTAGGTGAGTGGATGGATGGATGGGTGGATGATAGGGGTACTTAAAAGGCTGACAGAAAAGACTCTAGCAAAATGGTATGTTTCGGGAGCTTTGGGGATCTTTAAGAGATGCAAATTTAGGTGGGTTTACTTTTGTTATTGCATTTCATTGAGCAAAGATAATGTGCTAAAATCAGCCAACACTAAAATAGCAATGTATTATCTCCATAAAATATAATACTGGTATGAAGTACATTTGCATTTACTTAAATATTAATGATTATGATAAACTTATTATTGAACAGAAGTTTTGTTCCTCTGCCATCACAGGTGCTGTAGTTCATAAACATGCTGCAGCCACACATGAGAGCAAGAAAATAACTTGCCTTGCATTCCAGCAAGGGTGGAGGAGGGTAGGAGGATGGCGAAAAAGAGAGTTTACACTCAATTCATGCGTGCGTGCATGTACGTGTGTGTGTGTACGCGTGTGTGCGTATGTGTATATGTGTATATATATATATATATGTGTGTGTGTGTGTGTGTGTGTGCGTCTGTGTGTGTACATGTTTGTGTGTGGGGGGCATGTGTGTGAATGTGTGTTTATGTGTGCATATGTGTGTATGTGTGTATATAAGTGTGCATGTTTATGTGTGGGATGGAGTTAAGGGTTCTGCTGTTCTGTTCTCTGTAGTCTTTCGAAGGACACAACCCTTAACTTTGATTTTGCTGTGAAATGAAGGTACTCAGCAATTTAATCAGCTTTGAGAGAGGCCGCAGACTTTGGTAGTTCTGTGTAGATGAATAGCCCTCATTTTTCCTTGTCTTAGGAACCAGTGCCCCTGCAAAGGCTTGTATTCAAGAGTTCTGGGAAATCTACAGTGCAACAAGCTTTGAGTATCCCAGCTTATTTTGAGAAACTACTAACACTTAAAACCCAAGGATATTATCTGATAGCCGAGGTACCTTTACATGGAGTTTAGAATTTATTTATTGGTTCATGGGTTACAGTTCTTTTAATGTCCAGTAAAGAAGTAGAGAGAAAGGAGGTCCTTGGCCACATCTGCTTCTCCCCTACTCTCAGAGCCCAGGTGAAAAGGGTTTGAAATAGAAAACATTGAGGACCAGGCACACAGTGTCAGGGGCACATCAAGAACACTGGTGCAAAATCTCAGGGCTGTCCCCTAACAACCACTGAGGTTCTGGAACAAAAGGAAGCTTCTGGAAGCAAACAGTGTATAATAATAACTGAAAAACACTCTTCTGCCTGGACTCCCAGGATGAACCCCACAGGACCCCAGGACAGACATCCATGCTCAGCCACCAGCTGAGAGGGACAGATCTGTGTGATAGCTCTTCTGCAAGGTCACAGGAGACCTTCCCAGTAACTTACAGTCACTGATGATTTCCAGGGAGGGCAAGAAGTACTTGTCACAGACGATAGAGACTGCCATGAACATGTAGAGGATGATGAGGAAGTAGATGACGACGCCTCCATCCATGCCTTCCTGCTTGGTGAAGAACCCTTCGGGAAACTCTGACGCTGAAGACACAGCACATTGAGTGCTGTTTTCTGCTGAGGAAAAGGGAAAGATCACAAGATGTTGGAGTCACATATCTCAAGCCCACAGAGCCAAAACTGGGGTGTTTGGAAGGGATATGGAGATGTGGGTGGAAATATGATACAGAGGCTTAGATGGCCGTTGAAAGCGGTTATTTCATGAAATAAGCTGATAGAAGAGAATTGTAGGGAAGATTTATTACAGCGCCTCTCTGTGTCTGCTTCTACATGGGAAGAATGCTCTGATAATTTCTCCAACAATAAGAAGTGCAGCCCTGTCTACCTCAGGGTCTCTGAACTGCTGCAGAACATTCTGGAGAATGCACTGGCTGATCAAGAAAGAGTATTCCCATCTTCTGCAAGGCTATGAAGCAGAACAGATACGGCAGGAGTTGGGGTTAGGGAGGGGGCATGGATATTCCCCTCTCCATCCCATATCTAGATGTGGGACTGGGATGTCTGGACCCATTGCCACCTACCTGTGGCCCTTGGGAGGCGCGGGGGCAGGAAAACACCACGGACAGGCAGGTATGCAGAGACCCAGAAGATCGCCAGCAGCAGGACCCTTCTTGTCCAAGTTGGGCCCCATTTTGTCCGCATTTCCAGCGTGCTCTTTGCAGTGTGTAGTTCAGGAAGGGAACAAGGGAGACTTATGCTGAATCATGTGAGGAGTCTCCTTCCTCCCCAGTGCCTGCGGGGGGGAGGGGTGTTACAGCTTAGGAGGCCAGCAAGGGAGACAGCCTAGCTTCTCTGATCAGGAGATCCAAGTCCTAGGGTGGTTGGAGGAATTAGGGAGGGGCACAGATAAAAACCCACTACAGCTGTTTCCATGCCGGACTCTGAAGGCAGCAGGCCCAGGCAGCCTGTACCTGTGCTCCTACCGGATCTCTTTAATATCTTCAAACTGACACTGCCTTTGACTTCCCCTAGATTTATGAGGGCCTGGGTTTGCTTGATGATGCCCTCAACCCTCTTCTCTCTAGCCCTTGATTCTAGGAATTATTTGAGCGGGAATATATGTACTTTCTGCCTACCACGGCACGGTTTGTAGTGTTATTTGGATCGCTCATGTTCATCTTGAGTTAGAGCTAGAGACAGAAAGGTCAAGTAGGAGGACTGAAACAGTTGAACTGGGAAATGAGGGCCGCATGAATGAAGGCAGCAGCTATGGGGATTGAGAGCTGCCCACAGTGCCACAAACTATTAAGGAGACAGAATGGATGCTGTTTGATCATAGATCAGCTGTGCTTTTTGCCAGAAGGAGCTGTATAAAATGCTAATTGGACAAGGCAGACAGCATTCGAATACATTTTGTAGCTTGCCAAGATCCAGAAAACCTGTGGCAGTGGAGAAACCTGTGGCTGATGGTACAGGGTCTGGAGGAGACTGCAGGGTTGAGTTCTAGCAATGTTTATTAGCTGTGTGACCTTAGGTAAAGTACGTAACCTCTCTGTTCCTTCCTTCCACTATCTGTAAGGCAGGGATCACCTCTATTTTAGTTTGGTGTGTACTACATGACAAATGTAACCTTTTGAGGACAGTCTCTTCCACGGGACCATTGTTCTGTTATTCTGTCATCTGTCTATCATTATTTATTTCTTGGATTGAGATTAAAAGCTGCCATGGAGAAATTCTGTAGCTTTGCAACCATTTTGGCTCCTTTGTTTTGTACATAAAATTGGTGTGACAGGAAGGTATTATATGCACATGTGCAACTATCAAATAATAAATTAACTGATTAAAGTTTAAAAATCAAAGTGCCAAGCCTTTGATGTAGAAACCGGTGCATCTCGTGTAAAAGAGCAAGCTGCTTCTGGCTGTACATTGAACGTGTGGCATTTAAAAACCACCCCAGCACAGACGTCTTGCTGGGAACTTTCCTGGTGTGAACCTCTCTGACACTCAGCTCCCCGGATGTGCCCTATGGTGCTGAGGCTGGGATGCTGAGTCATCCGAATATAAACTAGAGGAGTCTGCTCTCAGTACGTGGAGCAGAGCTCCCCTTGGACTCTCAGAATCAACGCCAGGGAAATGGGCCACTGGGTGCTGACTGCTTTGTGATCTCCCCCTCAAAACCCAGTACACAAACCAGTTTGCACAACAAAAGCATCGCTCACAGTTGGAGTGTCAGCCACAGCAGAAGCCCAACATGGAATTTTCAATATAGGTCAAACAAGGTTTTTTGTTTTTTTTTTTTAAAAAAGCAAGTACCAAAAGGTACAAGCCCATGTTTGACACAGAGCAGAAATCTGCAGCACATAGTAGGCCCACAGGGAACATGAGTTGGTAGATTTAAAGAGTAGTGACTCTTAGAAACAGTCCCAGAAATGTGTGAGTGCCCAGTCTAAATAAAGTAGCCTATTAAACAGGAATTTACCAAGAAAAAAAAAAAAAGACATGGGTAGCTAGATTTGCTTTAAGGTTTATTATTCTCTTTGGATCAGGCTTAAGATCTGTGAAACAAACCACAGTTGTAAAGCCACACAAGGGAGGTGTACGGCTTTTGTTATTATATATGACAAAGATCCATGTAAACACCCAGGGTTAAGAAATAGAACTTTACAGCCACCCCAGGTGCCCCTTTATGCACCTCAACTTGTGTTTTGCTAAGGAAACCACCCTCCTGACCTGGGCACTGGTTACTTGATTGTGTGTCTGGTTAGAAGTATAAGGCCCCTCAGTGGGGACATCTTCAGGCAGCCGTAGTCTATCTTGTCCCTGTTGATGCTCTTTCTGTGCTCTTTGGGCTTCAGGCCTCCTCTTCCCTCATTCTTACAGCTAACCTCTCAGTCCCCCACTGTCCTGATTCCTACATCCTTGTGGCATCCTTCAGATTGTCTCTGTGTTTTCCATATTGCTGCAGCTCCGTGCGGAGGCTTCCTCACACTTGGGCCCACTGGCCAGGCAGTTTGGAGGTGGGGTATTCTCAGGAAACACACCGGGTCTGCTGTCTGTCTCTCTGCATTGTGAGCAGCCCCTTCATGCTCGAGATTCTTTGGAGTCTGCAGACTGGAGGCTTTCGAGTGCTACAGTGTTTGCATTTATCGAGATGGTTTCTACCACTTACTCTCTGTACCCAAAGGTGAGCAGTTCAAGATGAAGCATTCGTGATTCTTTCCCATTAGCCACTAGTTCCCAAGGGAGTTATCTTCCTACAAAATAGCCAGTTAGATTAAGCATGATTTGAACTAGCTAATTTATATCTGATCAACTGCACTGGCTGTTCCTTTTGAAGGCCAAGTTGTCTCAGCTAGGGGTAACCTCTTCACCGTGCTGTGTGAGAGTCCTGACATGGTCTTGACTCTGTTTGATTGATTCCTCATCAATCGGTAGAAACAGATGCTCCAGGCTTGCCTTAGAGATTAGCCCTTCCCTCCAAAATGCTTCTTACTACTTTTTAAACAAAGCATTTCAAGGCCATGGGCTAGTGAGACACCAGATGCCACCAAGTACGATCGCCTGAGTTTGATCTCTGGGAGCTAGGTGGTGGAAGAAGAGAATTGACTCCTATATGTCGTCTGCTGACTGCCACATGTGCATTATGGTACAGACATGTACACACAAATAAATGCAATTAAAGCAAGTCAAGATGCATCACAAGACTGCAGTCTAAGCATGCATGTTGTTAGAGACAACTATTGCTATTTCATTTCCAATCTCTCTTCTTTCTCTGTCTCTGATACACACACACACACACACACACACACACACACACACACACACAAAGTCATGGTCTTCTTTTTTTGTTTTTGTTTTTGGAACACAGGCTTCACTATGTAGCCTAGCCTGGGTTGTCACTGGTCATGCAGTGCAGGCTGGTTTGGCAGCCATGACCCTCCTCCCTTATCTGGCATCACAGATACAGTTCTGACAACTCTACTTCCTAATAAAGTAACTTGAGACTCCCCATGGGACCCCTCTTCAGTTCACAACTAAGACTGTAAGTTGAACCTTTCCTGCTCTTAGCTGTACCCCCTTCTGTCATGCCCAGGGAACTCATGAGCCCAGAGAATGATGGAATTAGAATGGCCCCATGCTAGTCTCAGCATAATAATCCGGCCAGAAGCGACGAAGCTTCTTCAGAGGAGCTGCTGAGGGAGGCCAGAATCTGCTCACTCTCTTTTCCTTGGTTCTGTTTGAGCTGCGACCCCACCCCACCTCCACCTTCGCTCTTTACCTGCATAGCTCAAGCATACAGCCTTAGCTCTGTCATCCCCAGCAGCCCTTACTGGGCCTGGACTCACAAGTGTGCATGTTTGATGCTTGGCTAATGCTCCTTTAAATATCTGGTGCCAGGGACTTATTTCCCTGATTTCTTGGAAGGACATATAGAATGATAATCTTTGAGTTCTTCCATGCTGATAATTTTTTTCAAAAGATTCCTTCTTCTTCTTCTTTTTTTTTTAAAAATTGAAAATAGATTCCTCTCCTTTACTAAACATTCTAACCGAAGTTTCCCCTCACTGGACTCCCAGCCTCCCTGACCTCCCCTCTCCCCCAGATCCACTCCCCCTCCATTTCCTCTTCAGAGTAAAAAACAGGCCTCCAAGAGAGAGGACAAAATGACACAGTAAGACATGGCAACAGCCTTCATACTGAGGCTAGACAAGGCAGTTCAGTAGGAAGAAGGCCCCAGGAGCAGCGCAGCTGGATAGGAACCACTGGCTCAGTCACTCCCTAGTCTATCTTGAATGTTTCCTCACCCACTCACCCCTCTTGCCTCAGTCTCCCCCTCCCTTGTAGTCACCTTCACTCATTTTGCTTTACTTAATCTCTTCCTCTCCACTTTCTGTAAGATGTCTTACAATATCATCTGTCGTGTCTTTAGTTCCCTCTGCTTTAAGAGTCTTTGTTTGAAGTTCCCCCCTTTTTTGTAACATCTAATTTCTAAGGGCTTCTTTTTTCCTTT